CAGTGCTCTCCAAGCCAGGATTAGTATTATTATTCTCAGAGGCTCAAGGACAGGGACTATTTATCTTTATTCCTAGATCTAAAAGAGGGGAGGCATTTGTGAATACTCACTGAATTGCCAGGGAGGAGGGACTCACTGGCAGCTCAGCTGGAAAGATTAAGTGACCTGCTCACAGTCATACCCTGTCAGGGTCAGAGCTCGATGTTCTGTCTTCTGTCTCTCAAACCTATTCTCTAACGCTGCTTTTGGATGTTCAAGGCTGTTTATTGCAACAGCACCATTTTTAACAGCCCAAATGTCCCTCACTGGAGGGTCCCTCACATACACTGTAGCCCTGCTCCTTGAATCATGGTCCCACCAGCAGCTTGGGCAGCGCCTGGGAGTATGCAGAATCTCAGGTGCCACTCTGGACCTACTGAATCAGAAGCTATAGTTAAACAAGATCCCCAGAGTGATTCATGAGCTCATTAAAGTTGATAAGTTCTGCATTACAGTACATCCATCAGGTAGATTCCCTTGGCACTTTTTTAACAAGAATGAGGCAGATCTACATGGACCATGTGAAAAGATCTCAAAATTTATTGTTAAATGGAGGGGGGTGGAACAAGTTATAGACCAACATGAATTTGTATAATCTAATTTGTATGCTCACTTTTTAAATACAAATAACACTAATATATGTGAATATATGCACAGAGCTGATCAGCCAGGCAGCCTAGCAGGATGCTAGTCTGGAAGGAGAGCTTAGATAGCACTGGACTAGATCGACCCTGTGCCAGTTAACTTGGGTTTCCACATGGGACAGACCCGTCATAACCAGTGATCAGAGGGAAATAGCATCCTCTGAGAGAAACTGGAACATTCTTTTTCCTAGCACTCAGGACTGCTCTTGGCTCTGCCACCAAGCCAGAATCCAGCAAGGTGACAATTTTCTCAGGGCTTTGGTCATGTCAGCTTAGTCCTTAGTCAAAGCCATGTGCTGTGCCAAGACCTAGCAATTCGTTAGCGTGTCGCCCAAATTGTATGCCCTTTAATACAGCCCCCCAAAAACTTGGTCAACTATAATTCTAGGACAATTCCAAATAAGTTAAAAGGTCAGGTTTCATTCTGTACATGTAATAAAGCCTTTATTTTGAAAAGAAAGAAGTTTGATATATTTTATTAACAGAAAATCAGTTTCTCCACATCCTGCCTAAATAAATTTTGAACAAATGTTTTTAAAATATCAAGTTGAGGAGATGCCAAATTATTAGGCTGCCAAGGCACCTCTAAGTCCCAGTCTGGTTCTGTATGTGGATAAGAAAACAAAGGAACTTTGGAAGGATTTAGAGTAAACAGTTAAGCAGGCCAGTCACTGGGAGGTGGAACTTTTACTTTCTACCTTAAGGACTTTCTCTCTGCTTCAAATGTTTCTCTAATGTTTTCAAATATACACTGTTGGTGGGAATGTAAAATGGTATACCCTCTCTGGAAAGCAGTTTCTTAGAAAGTTAAACATATACCTACCATATGATCCAGCCATTCCACTCCTAGGTAATTACCCAAGGGAAATAAAAGCATGTGTCTAAAAAAAGACTTGTACTTGGATGTCCATACCAGCTTTATTTGTAACTGCCAAAAGTCTATTCACAGGTGAGTGGATGAACAAACTGGTGCATCCACACAATAGACTAGTTAGTACTCAGCAGTAAAAAGTAAGGACCTACTAATACACACAACAACATAGCTAAATCTCAAAATAATTATGCTGAGTGAAAAGAGCCAGACAAAAAATAAAGAATACATACTGTATGATTCCATTAATATACAACTCTAGAAAATGCAAACTATAGTGAGAGAAAGCAGACCAGTGTGTGCCTAGGGATGTAGGATAGGGAAGGAGAGATGGGAGGGAGAGATTGCAAAAGAGTATGAGGAAACTTTTTGGAGTGATTCATATGTTCCCCCATTTTGATTGTAGCAATGGTTTCATGAATGTGTGTGTGTGTGTTCTTTAAATATGTGCAGTTTATTGTAAATTAATCATACCAGGAAGGAAGGATGGAAGGAAGGAAGGAAGGAAGGAAGGAAGGAAGGAAGGAAGGAAGGAAAGGAGGGAGGAAGGGAAAAAGAAGTCTGTTTTACTTTTATGGGCAGAAAAAAAGCAGTAAGGATAAATTCAAAGGCACACCCACATAAAAATGTGTGCTCTTTCACTACATAACATGTTTATCTTGTAAATGTCCTATTCTCCCCTACCTACCATTGCAGAGAATAACTGCACCAAATGTTCTCTTTTATTCAGCTTATTTAGGACTATCTGTTTCTTTCTCTCT